GCTTTCAATCAATTGGCTTTTTGGATCACATTTTCACCTATTTCACTAAGTACTCAAATTTATTATGACATTTCATCGACAACTGTCGATTATCTTCTTAATTGGGGACCATTCGTGTTTATTCCCTGTCTACCATTTGCTTATCTTCTTCTCAACAGAAAAAATGGTTTTCGACACATTGTAATCATTACAGCAATTGTCTCTCTTGTGGCCACTCTCATTCGTATCATACCTTTGATCGTTATCTCTCCCTCGAATCCGCAATTTAGAACTATCTCTATTCTCTTTCTCCATGTTGGCCAGATTCTTAATGCTCTTTGTAGTCCTTTAGTAATGATACCTGTTTCTCAATTGTCATGTCTTTGGTTTAGTCCCAATGAGAGAACACGTGCGACCACAGTCGCTATCATGGCAAATAGCTTTGGCTCAACTGCCAGTTTTCTTATCAATCCATCAATTGTTGCTCGTCCTACGAATCTGCCTTACTTGCTGTACTTTCATTTTGCTTTAGCACTTTTAGCTGCCATTCCTGCTCTCATATATTTTCCTGCTGAACCACAAACACCTCCATCACATGCAGCTCAGATACTCATGCGTGGAAAAGAGAAAAACACAGATTCAGACTTGAAGACTTACATAAAAGATCTTCGACAATGTGTTACTAATCGCTCATTTGTTCTACTTGTAACAGTTGGAGGTCTAATGGGAGGAACTTTTGCAATATGGACAGGCTTATTTTCTACGATTCTCGCTTTTGAGAATTATTCTGAAAAGCAAGCTGGTGAGTTTCGTATATTTCTTTTTCCATATTTACTCTATCTTGATATGAGCGGATTTACGTGAAGATTTCTTCTCAAAGTGAAGAGGCTATTACAGTGAGTTGTTTGATATTTTTTCTGAGCTTCGAAGAACATTTTCTAAGCATGTAACACTATCGGAAAAGAGTGTTGAAGTATTTAGCGAAAAATAGTGAGTCCCTGAGACGCATCCTACAGACCGTGACAGACATTTCAACATACTGTGCTCCTGTGATCTTGTCGCAGATCGTGATAAGAATTACGAGGATCTTCTTGTACAATTAAAGCAGCTCCGTTGTTTTTCATATATTAGTCTCGTATGGATTATGCTGAAAAGTTTTCTCGATCGAAACGTACTTTAGTCACAGTAAAACATTTCCAAACCAAATGGGATAGAAGCTGGAAAAAGGGAAATATGGACTTATTGTTTAAGACACTCTTAACGAATCGGAGTTTTATAGAGAGGTTAGTTTTCAAATAAAAAACTATTTAAACAATCGTAGCAAAGAGAACTCGACTTTGAGACTTTAAATAATAAAGAAAGTTAGAACAAAGCATGAAAATTTTGGAATGTGTAAAAAGGCTATAGAATCATACAGAACAATGAAAATCGAATTCGATTTCATCTGAAAATTCTATCAAACTTCTTGTAGTTCGAATTCTTAACAAAAACAATCCTTCAATATAATCCCTACGGAATAAATAAAAGAAGTACAGTATGTTGAAATGTCTATCACGACCTGTGGAGCGAGCGAGGAGACACTTGATTTAATTTTTCCGTTATGTACTTCAACACTCATATCAACCGTATTTTACAAACTTCACAAAAACTATGGGAATAAAGTGAAAAATTCCAAAACTTTAGTAGAATTAAACATAATATTCGAAAGTCTTCGAAATACATAGATAGAATTATATTTAGTGGTTATTCAAATTATAGTCCTCTTTGCTCCTCCCCTTACTGCTAAGATTGTGCATGAATTAAAGGATAATGTAGCAACACTAGATTTAGACTTGAATGCAGTCTGATTATTTGTCTATATTTTGATAAGGCTGGTTCGCTTTTGGATCATCTTTCGGTTCAATCGTTGGCGGCTTTTGCATGAGTGCTCTGGCCGATATACCTCGATTTCAACGTTCATTAAAAACGTTTATTCTATTGGCATTGATCGGCTGTTTACTCTCAGTAATGTGGTTTCAACTATCTATTCGTACAATTTTTTATAATGTGCCAATTCTTGGTTCGAACCAAGTCACTATTGGAATTTCTCTCATTCTTGTTGGTGTTTGTAGAGGAGCTGCATTGCCGTTAATCTATGAAAGTTTGGCCGAAATTACGTTTCCACTGCCAGAATCTCTTTCAGCTTCGGTTCTCCTACAATTGATGAATATTACTGCCGTTATTCTCCTTTTTAGTACTACTGGACGATACAAATTAATGAATTTAATCGTTGTCATCACTAATCTAGTATCTGTTATCATGGTTGTATTCGTGCGAGTCTCATACAAACGACGAAATGAAGATGGTCGAATGAAGAACGAAACAATTCTTGGACTCGATTAAATCAAATATTTTTCAATTTGAACTATTCATAATAAAACATCTAACATATTATTCTGACTAAAATTTTTTATTTTCTTATTGTCATCAGTTAAATTGGATTATAATTTAATTTTTATTAAAGTGATAATTTTGTTTTTGAAGAAAAGTTCTATTAATATTTTTCGGGTGTGAATCTTCTCTTCACCGACAACCTCACTCACCCATACCTACATCCACATCTACACTCTGTAGCAAAACCCACAAAAATATTCTTTCTTAAGAAAAGTATCAGACCTAACAAAAGTAATGAAATATTCGGAATTTATTGCAGAGTGAATGAATAAAAAAAATATACAGAAGGACTACGTCAGATCAGTCAACTTTGTGACCGACACACATATATTCATAATTATAGACGAAGTACGAAAAGAGAACAGTTTAGTACGAAGTTTTCTTATTGCAATACCTTTGCATTTATTCTATGAAACCTATTCCATTGCAAAATCTGAAAAGGTTTTATACGAAACCATATTGAGATTTCGTATTTTCGGTCGTAACCTTATACGATTTAGTAAAGTACCACGAAAATATGTATGTTTCGTATGATGCCAATTTCTTTTTTTTGTCAGTGTGTGTGCATATAATTAATTTGAAAAATCGCTAGCAATAGTTTAAAAACCTAGTCTTCGAAGAATCTATTCAAGATTAGTGACTTGACAATGTTTTTAATTCGGATTTCTATTAATGAAAATGTACAGGCAAGATTTAGTCATTCAAGTGAGCAATTAGCAATTGCCATTGTTCTTCATCCATATTTCTATCAACTATCAACTTTATGTACCACAGATTGTTGCCAGTTTTTTCAACACTTTGAATACGACAGATGGTTGCCATAGAAAAAAGAACTTCTTCTTCATCTCGATAAATACTCTGGTATTCGATTCGTGCGAAAGGAATATTGAGAGGCAAACGAGTATCTACCGATATTTCGAAAACTACAGACACGTAACCTTTCTCGAGATCTGAAGTTCCTTCGCCGGCAAAGAACAGAGCGGCTTGGTGATTATTAGTTGTAGAGAGAAAGCTATTCATGGAAATAAGACTGCATTGGTATTGTTGCAGACGTTCAAGTTCTGTGTAAGGCATTATTTGCCCTCGATACAGTGCAAGGTTCGGCTGATCCTGAGGTAGTGATCGAAGGTAGTCAATTTGCAATCTGGCTAGTTGGTTGTGCAAATCATAGATAAAATAGCGCAGTTTGATGATTATATCATAATTTTCCTGTCGAAGAGCTTTATTCAGAGTTCGAAAGAGAAACCCATTGCGACTGTACCACAAAACAGCATCTTCACTTCGATAGTTCTGTTCGAAATCATCTATTTGATTTAAATTGTTTCTGTTACCGGTGTATTTCAATCGGCACAGTTCGATGAGCTCTTCCTTGGCAAAGTCATTTGGTTCAAGTCGGAGAACTACATCGACGAGAACTTGAAATCTTAGGAACGATACATTGTTTGCATCCAAATAACGAAAGTATAGTTGTCCACTGTCTGACGTAAAGCGATGTTGTTCATCAATAAGTTTAGCCCATGGACTAATAAGTGAACGAAACTGCTCATCTTCTTCATCGATAGCAGTTGCTTCAAGGTACCAGTAGAATTCTGTGCGTTCTACTTTATCTATTCGAACTAATCCATGATATGAGACAATCACAATATCATCACCGAAAGATTGGCTGCTGTGAGAGAAAGTTGCATAAATCATTTTTTCACACTTTGTAGGAATATTGATCTTTTCCATAAGGGGTTGTCTGCATGGATCCTTCATATCTCCCGTTGCAAAACATTTCGCGTTGCTTTCGTCGAAAGAGCAGCATGTGAATGCGTTTCTGGCAACAAGACAACCTACTAAAGAGGCCAGGTCTTCGACTGTTCGAATGTGGCATTGAACTCCTCGATAAATAGAACGCCAGGTGCATTGCGCATCTGGTTTCTTAATCTGGTGTTCCACTTGGGACTTCAAATAGCAAATACCATAGCGTAATGTAAAAATTCTGCTTATATCTTTGCTGGATGAATTTGAAGTCAGATTCGGATAGATTGGATTAATTGTTGTGTACAAAGTGATAGGATTAGAAATATTATCAAGTAATTTCGAGATTGCTCTAAAGATTCCATGAACTGATGTTGCGATATTTTTTTACTCAATGAATAAATAAGGTCCTATTGACTATCTTAATTGATTTTGAGATCAAAAGAGATGACTTTAAAGTATCGGAACGATGAACGCACACACGTTACACACTTCTCAGTCGTTCTTTTTTTTTGGTTTATTACTTATGCATTCCATATTGAGTTTACTAATGTAATATAAAAAATAATAAAGTGATAGAATATGCCCCATGGTGGTGATGAATGATATGATAGTACAAACAGTTATGAGTTTATCATGTTTGTATCTTGTCTCGATTAAAGACTATTTTCACGTCATTATAACATATGTACATGGAAGTTTTACGTGGATTCCAATCCCTTAACCAGTATCTCTATAGCTCCAGATGAAATAGCATATTGTCACTTCTAAGAACTTAATTTGAATTGCGAAAAGAGTAGTTGATGAGTTGGTATTCGTGTCACTGAAGGAATAGTTGTCCTTACTTTGTGCCGATAACTGTGAGATGTCCGACGAATATTTTCATGAAAATAAAAATCTTAAAGGGATACTCATCGCCAAAATAGACTATGATATTATGTTCAATATCAAAGACATGTTCTAAAAGTTTTCGATACATTTCTTTAAAGAAAGCGAGCGTTTTTATTGACTGATATTTTGAGCAGATCAGTAGTTCAACTGATCAAAGTTCGTAAAGAACGTAACGGTACTCTGTATACTAAAAATTCTAATCTCATTAGGGAAACATAGTCCTTGATACTCATACTTACTGCTTATTTTGTTGCTGGGTCTTATGGTTTAAGTAAGTTAAAAACTCTCTTTTCGACACCTCAGTATGATGGAGGTGTGACAAAATATTGAACAACATATAATACCAGACGTATTTAGCAATTTCGGTGGTTAAATCTAAATAACTTTCACGATGTGTTGGTCCGAATGTTAATGGATTTCCGATAGTAATAACATGATATGAAATATTGTTGTTAAAATGAATCAAATTTCCCTTTATATCAAACACATAAATAGTACCGGAGACATTGCGCAACACATCCTGGTAACTGTCTATCATGTCACTTGAAATTATTACCATCAGTTTGTTCATAGTAGTTCGGTTTAATAATGATAAGAACCTCCGACATTCTTTATTGTTAGTAAACTCAATGACTTGAACATAATTCAAAATAACAATAAGTGCTGGGCAACAGTTGAGTGAGATTCCGATTAGAAGAACAATCGGTTGATACACTTTGTGAGTATTTCTGTTCACAAACAGACGATATTGAATCGGAGGTGTTACCATCGTTAGCTATGAACAAATCTTATATCACTGAGAATATGACTTAACTAAAATACAAAGAGAAGTCTATCTTTTTATCAAGTACCACAATCAAGAGAATGTGTGGAAAGAGAACAGTCAACTAAGGTTTTACTCTACTCCCGCTTATTGCTTCAGACAGATATTGCTAAGAGAGAACGAGTCAATTTTACTTTGTATGCCTGATGCAATTAACAGTGTTTAACTAAGGTATATATAGAGAGATATTTGTAATTTATGTATATTTTTCTCGGTTTTCTTGTCTCCTGATTTGACATAAAAGCTCTCTAGTAAGCGAGGTTAATAGTTAAGGCTAGCTCATTTTCACTAGACAAACAGAAAGGAAAAAGATGTAATTCGCATAAGGTATAAAAAAGTCAAAAACATAAGTAAGAAACGAAATATATATTCGCCACTCTCAAGTCTATTTGCAACAATATCTATTTTTTACCTGCGCACTTAAGTATGATTAGATGAGGAGCGACCGTATACACTCGTACAACAACACTATGGGGAATATTCTAAGTCAATCATGTGTTAGATCGATATCCGAATTAAAATTGATGTAGAAGAATGTAGGCGATTGGACTACCATTTCGTAGGCTTTCATCAAGAAAGATGATTTTTGACGAATTTTCATCTATACTGTAAGCTGAATAGAAACAGAGTAGAAAAAAGAATAGCTGGATGATCAGTACTATTTGGAGAAGTTTGATCAAACGAATAGCTCTCATATTTATACGCAGAACTTTTTAAATTATACAATTCTTTACTTGCTCAGTCTCTAGTACTTATTCATAAACACTTGTGATCATTCAGACGTAATGAAGTATATGCACATGTTGTTCGAAATGTATATTTTTCGATGGGCATAATCAGCCATATGTTTGCCAACACTCTCAAGCGCTTTTTGTGCAGAGAAAGCGGAAGCAAGACAACTTTAGGTGCAAATGTACCCTTCCGATTTTCGTGACTCCTCTATCATTGACAAACCCGTAATGATAAAGTAGACAGACTATGGTTTACATTCAACATTCTAGCGTAAGAGCTGGCAGAAATCCTAAAGACGCATTCTTCAATTATTGATATTCTTGACTTCTATCACTTGAAACAAAAACATAGTCTTGAACAGCTCCATGATCAGTTGAAAAATCCTCATTCAGTTGATGAATGACAAATAAAAAACATTACATCTATAATACTTGCAAGCAACATTCATTGTTTAAAAATACGCACGTACACTAAACCAAACTCATGTTTTGTTTCGATGATGTCTTTTCTGCTTTTTTTTCTACTAGAATAATGCATCTATTAATACGTTCATTTACTGATACTGCTCTGGTACGAATAGCTTTTATTTCAACTGAAGTAAATATGCATGATAATCAATTGAAAAAATACTACCATGTGAAATGATGAATCATTACATAGTTGCTTATGTCAGCAATTGGTAAGAGAACTGAGGAGACCACGTTGGCATACAAAAAATGATCGAAAAATATGAAACGTGGAGCTTATTTACCTGAAAGAAAATGAATTTAATGTCTACCTTTTCTAGCCTAAGTCGACGAATGCCAAGAACGATGACAAAAGGACGTTAATAGTAAAGAGAAAATCCGAGGTCAACTTTTGCTCTAATACAAATATTAATTATTCCCTTTTCTGAAAGAAAGGGTTATATCCAAGAAAATATTTTTAAAGTTTGTCAGCTCAAGTCAATCAGATTTCAGACACAATATATCCAACAGAAAAACATCTATTCCTTGTGTGCGGGTGGGTCAATGAATAAAACACCATTAATACTCACATCCACGCCCACACCCGTACCCACACCTTTTCGTTGTCGACTCATCTCTCTCACATGATGGAAGAGAACCTTGTCCGTCGAAATTTGGGCATACTAGTTCTCGTGAAAATAAATTTCTCTTTTCGTCGAATCGATTGATCTGTTGGTGTGAAGTATTAGTCTTTAAGTTTCAGTAGCATCGATGACAATCGCATTAAAATCTTATTCACCACAAACGATAATCAACGTTTCAAAGACTTCTAGGTTCAACTAGTGTCGCAGTCACCAATGGAACTCGAGGAGGTCAGCATCGTAGCACAGATATTCAAACGAAAACTGAAATAGTATTAACAACTTGAAGGTAGATCTATGAGTATGTGTTGAATGAGCACCATTAGGAAAAATATTTGATAGACGAAGTTTGTGGAGCTTGCGCCAGATGAATCTTGCAGCTTTTAGATATTCATGTGAGTAACGGAGAAATGTAGACCCAGAACCACACACTCGCTTACATCGACACCCACATCCATTCTCATATCCAAAATAGTTAGACAGAAAAAAAAACTCGTAGTTATCTAAGATCACATTTTGCTATTTGAAGTCAACATCGACATTTTCAAATCTTGCACTTGATGTCTTCATTGTTTCTTGGATGGTTATAGTGTCCTTTATCTTACTTTTGCACGCTATCCTGTACATGAAAAACTTCTTGTCGATGATCAACTCTTTCTTTAGTACAGGAGAAGAAAAATCAAAACACGATGACAACATATAATAAGTCATCGCAGTATGAAGTATACCTTGTAGATGAGTTGTACAGCCGGCAAAGTTTTTTCAGGATTTTTTATTTCGATCTTCTTCACTTTTGGTCTTTGACCAGTGAATTAGTAAGAAGAGAATATTACAATTATACATTCAACTTGAATTGTTAGTATTAGAAGAGTATGATAACACGTCCAAAGGAAAAAAAACAAAATTTAACATCCTAAACTCATTAAAACAAACACGGATGAGGACCAAAATTGGGCATTGTTACAATTGATTAAATAAACTCCGCACTCTACTCGTACGCAAGTATTAATCTAGTGCCAAAAGTGAGATAATTCGAAGATATCTTTCCAATTCCAATTGATTGTAAATTTTACCGGTATTAATTATATGAAAACATCAATTATTCTAATGATTTTGATGTAAAAAGTTACAAGTTTTCTTCATAAAAAAACCACAAATAATTAATTATTAGACAAATGACAAGTAAAGTAAGACCATAGATAACATGAAAATCATCTTGCCAAAGGAACAATGCGTTGTGGTCGTCGCCACCATAAGATTTGATCTTTCACTGTACGACGAAAACGAGGTGATGAAAACATGAAAAGATAGAATCGTCCCTAAAAACGCACGACAAAAACTGAACATTATAATTCACAAAACACTTACTGCATAGGCAACTGAACCAAAAAGATAAGTAATGTTAGAAGCCAATGCCTCCTTGGCTTTTCGATCAGCACTCTTTTCATTATTCATCGTAATAATTGCATAAGCATTGTAAATAACATATGGACTAAGACCTATTAAGGTAAGCAAAACTTGAATGAAAATTATCATTGTCAATTGTCGGTCAATACGTAGACGCGTGAGAATAATTGTTTTTCTTATGTTTCGATAAGCTAAGATTCCAAATGTCATCGTTATTAAAATAGGTATACCACTGAGAATAATACCGAGGAAAAATACAGTATAAACATAAAATGCATCAGTGGTATAAATACAAACGCCTGTAATTGGTGACATGTCCTGATAATATAACCAAAGGGTACTATGAAGCCACCAGATAATAACAACGGATAAAGAAGCTCGATATGCATTTTTAATACTGCTCCATTGACGAAATCGAACATGTTGCGATGTGATTAGAAACTGATCAATAGTAGACAAACATACACAAGCCAAAGGAATTGTACTAAAACTTGCAAGAAAAAAATAACGAACCTTGCACCAAACGATAGAAATACGCGCCATGTCAATGTCTAGATATGCGGCAACGACACGTGGACCAAAGGCAGTCATAAATTGACCACATTCATGTATAGCGGCAATAATAAAATAGAATGTACATGGAGTCTTTCGGTAATAGGATACTTTCGTAAACATGAACACCTGCATCACACTACCCATAAGCCCTATAATCACGAAAAATAGACCAACATTGAGCGTAATTAGTCGATTAATATAGTCCAATGACGTCATGAGTTATTTTGCCAATCAACACACTAGAAATCGAAGAATGTCACCTTAAAAGTGTTAGAAACCATTATACCTATGTAGTTTATACGCAACTACATAAGATCCCTCCGCCGTCAAAAACCGATTTCACGTCGGATACATTTAAATTGCCAGAAATTTTCAGGATATGTTGGAGTAGTAGTGAAGAGACTATGCTAAAATTTTCATTTATATAACATAACATTTGAGAGAGATATCTATTAAACAGAAATCAGCAATAGTTCATTTGGCAACTCAAAATTTTCTTTCGATCCTCTTAGTATATATTTATTCTTTTCTTTTTTTTATTTAGAAGAGTGTGTCAGGATAGAGGAGATGACAGCGAAGAAAAGGAATTACAAGTCCAATTTCTCGAGAAACTCTTAATAAATAGCGTTCTAATAATAATAGTGCTGTTTTATATACTAACAAAAAAATCGTAATTGAAAAAAGCAGCTTTGTCATGATTCGCACCATGGGATGTTCTTTCAAATTAAATAAGGTAATTGGTTATAAATAAGCTTCTTAGGAAATTGTGAGATGCACAATTAAAAAAAAACATAAACAGAGAAATAAACATAAGGTTTTCTGTTTTTTTCTAAAGATAGCATAGTTTTCAAGAATGTGATGATAAAAATCATAAAAAATTTTGGCTAAAAGAATGTACCGAGTAAAGAAATAATCTCATTTATGAAAGATCAGACCCCGGTCTATCCTCCTAGGCATATATCTTAATTTTGATCACTTTGACGAAAATTGACTTTTTTTTTGACAGGGAGTGGACTTTAAAAAAAGAATGTCGAAATGTAGGTCTATCTATTAATCTATACTTATGCGTTCAATGTCAGATCGATAAGTTTTCCAAAGTTTGAGCAAACTATAGAGCTAGTTTTTGACAAGAGTAAAAGTAAAATGACTAATCAAATCGGAATTTCTCGTGTGAGAAATATTGATATGTAGTTAGACAAATGAGTGCTCTCTATTCAAATGAATACTTTATTTATCCATGAAAGAGAACGGTGATAACATTTCCATTCAAGACTTCTGCAGAAAAAGGATTGACGTTGATAAAATACGAGAGTAAAGTGAAAAAAATGATGGTAATGCTGAAGCCGCTTTGATGTCTCGAGGTCTTGAGAAAAAAGCTACTGACGTGATCTCTACAGAATTAAAATGTGCAACACCGCGTAGTTACTGTTACTAATTAATTACAGAATATCGCTTTATTCTATCTATTTTGAAACGCATTTCTTCATTATTCTTTTATTTAGTCCTTCAAAAATGCAGCTAGAAAATAGTACATATATGAAAACGAGGTATTATTGATATACGGTCTGTGAATAGAGAGGGAGCTGTCCAAATTTCTACCTCTATAATTCCACACTCCGTTTAGATTGTATTTTACAATAAAAAGTATTGCTGTTATAAGAAATGCATGCACAAATAGAGAAAAAAAAGAAAAAAACGTTTTAATTTCTCACATACGAGCACTGCACCTTTTTCTTTATTCTAACTTGAAGGCAAATTTTTCACAAGAAACAACGTAATTGAACGAACAAGAAAAACAATTTGTATGTGTAGGAGTGCATATTAAAAAAATAGGCGAAAGTGGAAGATAAAAAAGCGAATCATTTCAACTGTCTGAAACATCATTTATGCTAAAGATAATACAATCTTCCACATCTTAGATAGAAAAAATGAGTAAGAAAAAGAAAGAAATGAAATGTCAAAAATAAATGAAGGCATGGATGAAGATTAAACGACTTAACAACTACTGGAAAAAAACCAAGAAAGAGATAGACATGAAATAGAATAGAAAGAAGGAAGGAAAGATAGAGAGAAGTAGATATCAGAGAAAACGCACCGAAATACGACGTTCATTAAATCATCAATAACCTTGTCCCGCCATCACTTCGCTGCACCGTACCGAGGTTGATGTGCGCCTACAAAATAAAACGAACTTACATTTTTCGTAACCCGTTCATTATGTATTCTATTAACATGACCAAGTCATCTCAGCCGATTCCTTCTCAGAATATTTTCTAGGTAAGACTATACAGTTAGATGGAGCACCGTTTTATTTCACATACTGTCTCCTAGTGTAACATCAATGCTGGTTTCCAGTCATCGCATGTAAAAAGTATTGAGTCTTCTCTCTTCAGGCATTGTGAATGTCCATATTTCACTTCCATAGAGAAGTATTGATAAGTGACAGGCTCAAAAAACTCTCAATTTGGCTTCTACTAAACCAGTTTTTCTCTAGAAGATTATTTTACACAGAATAATAAATGTGGATGGATATGATTGGAGCCGAAACACTTTTCTTAGACGGACTAGGAGAAAAAAGTCCTCAAAAATGAAAAACGCCATTTTTCAAGTCTAAGAAGGATTTATGAGCGTCAGATTTCAATAGTGTCATATAAGAGAACATAAAACTCTGAACACAACGAAGGGTTGTCGCGTTTTCTACGGCCATTCCTCGCAAAGGCACAAGCATCACAAAAAAAACAATAAAAATACGATCTTTTTTTAAAAAATCGCTAAAAAAAAGGCATTTTTTCATTTGTTGAGATGCGCGTAACTTTGTAAACAATGGTTGTAGAAAGTGTAACGACCCTCATTTTACTTAACATTTCATGCTCTCTAAGATGGTACTATAGACAGCTGACTCTCGCAAATCCTTCTTGAATCTAAAAAGAATCATTTTCTTATTTTTTTTTTAGGATCTTGTGTCTCCCAGTCCATCTATAAATTGTGGTGTAAAATGCACCAGATAGAGAAATTGACTGACTATTTAAATGATTATTTGGATTTTAGATAGATGCGTAACGTAGTAGGAAAACAAACAGAATACTTTTCTCTTATAATTTTATTTAGTACTGTATATATATATGCACTATACGATACAATCAAATGAGTTCGATGTCTTCAAATAGACCAATAAATTCTGTTTCCTATGTAGACACACCTGTATAACATATAATACTCGAAACTGACTTGATGTGAAATAAGTACATTTTGCTGCTTTCAACACTGTCGTGAAAGATATTTGTAAGTGTATTCAACAGTTGGGTGATGTTCAAGAAATGTCGAACAAGGCAATCAAGCATACTAGTGGTATGCATCCATGATTAGTTATCCGTCTCTTATGAACAAGTTTTCAAATATATTGCTGTTTACACACCATAATGTTCGTATGATTTTTGAATTCGTCCAATAAGATCCGAATTAGAATGAAAAATCATTGTAATATGAATATATATGAAAACATCTACACATATTTACAAAAATTTTCTTTGTTAGAAAATCTAAGTTGAACTTGGAGTATTTATAAATATTTCAAAGAATTGATTAGACGTACGAGTCATATTAGATGGCATAATTAAGAAAAATTCATCAATAATAAATTAAATGACAGATCTTAGTTCGATTAAAATTGACAACTGCTTTTTAATCAATAAAAGAGTTTAAAGTTGGACATCTGTAAATGTATCAAATGATTGGCTAATTCACTTTACTTATTATATTCGACGATTGATAATATTGAAAATTATTGCAAACAATGGATAGCAAAAATTTTATATATATTTATTAATTGATTATAACTTCGATCAATTTAATGAGAAAAAAATCAATGACAAGAAAAGCTTAAATTATTCATACATGACAAAGTATAGGAAAAAAAAGAAATGCATATTTCAATTAGTATTCATTGTTTGATAAAAATGAATAGCTCAAATAGTTTTCTTTTTATGAAATAAAAAATAATTTTCTATTTAATTATATTTTCCAGATGGCATCGAAAACACAAAAAACAAAAGAATCAGTATCGACTGCTGTAAGTTATTTAAATCTAAGTATACAAATTTTCATTTTATTATTGTTTCTATCTATAGGCATTACCGATAGTAACAGATCCAGAAATGGCTGAACGTTTTGAACGTGAACTTGCTTGGTGTGTTGGACAACTTGAATGTATGATGAGATCATCATCAACAAAAGATAAAGATCCTGGTAAGTTTTATTTAATTAATTTGAAGATCATAATTACTCTTAGAAATAAAACAAACATTCGTGCGATTTACTTTGAAAAAAATTTTTATTCACTGTTGTGTACTTCGTCATATATTTTCATGACTTGTTACTGTCGAAGTTAAGGATAGCTCCCCTCTTTCTTTGGCTCTCGAAGAGGATATAATTGATTCATCTGAAATTTTTACCAAGAATAGAAAACTAAAAATAAGAAGATATGTGTCCGAGGAAAAAAAATTTAAAGAGAATTTTCCCTAGGTTCCGCTTACGACTTTCTTCTAACTTTATCAATCGGGTTGAAAACTTTTTTGCAGATGCCTTAAATTACATTTTACAGATAATTTTGAGCGTTTTCAAAAATTTCGAGGCTCGGATTCAAAACCGAGACGTTGTCGTTCAGGACTGTATAAATTTGGATAAGAAGATCAAAAATGAAAAAAGCCAATCTCACTTCAAGAGAATGCTTGTGTGGTAACAATTTCAGCTCGATCGAACAAAGTTATAAGGATATAGTAAACGAGTGCAATGTAGTCCTGTAGAAAACCCGAGTTTTTTTAAAAACTTTTTCCTTCCGAACCTGTATCTCGTTATTTTAGATGCTCTGTCTGTAGTAAAAATTTCAAACGGATCAGTTATACTCTTATCGAGAAAGCAGGCGATGCCATTAAATAGTTGAAGATAAGATCCTACAAAAATTGTTAGTAACATCAAGTTTAAAATCAAATATATATAATTTGTTTGTGGAATATTAAAAAAAAGATAGAGAACACATATTTTGTAATATTCACTATCTTTATAATTTAACTTATTTTAAGAAATAAACAATATGAAAAATTTATTTATAGCTCGATCAGCTTTACAAACTTTAACAAATCCTAAAACATCTTTAATTCGTAAACGACAAATGATGCAACAATTATTCGGTGATTATCGTCAAAAAATGCATGTTGAAGATGTAGCTAGACAAAAACGTATGAATACTAATATTATCATTTTTTTTTTAAATATTTTACATTTTATTACTAGATCATAATCAAATACGAGTAAATACGAAAAGTGAAATTCCATTATCTTCACGTTTTGTTCGTCGTATTCATCATAATAATGATTCAATAACAATAAAAGACAATACATTTTCATTTAATTTTGATATTCCATTATCGGATATGGATAAAAATTAATTGTTATTTTGTTTTTTTGCTATATATTTATTCTAGATATGTCTATTGAACAGAATCTTCTTATTAATATAGTCGATCAACTAGTATTACTTGATGAGAATTTTTCATCAAATGGTAAAGTTAATATTAGATAAGAATATTTCATATGAATGATTTTGTAGATTTAAATGCAATACGAACATTTAAATCGACAGTATCATCATCATCAAATTCATCGATTAATAGTTTATTACAAGTATGTTATTTTTCTCTATTCAAATAATTTACATTAACAGAATCCAAAAATTTGTTGATTATTACGATAGATTACATCACGCTGAATTTCGATTTTTTTTTTGTCATCTTAATATTCCAATCAAAGCATATATTAAAACTTCAACTGATGAAAATAATGAATTTGAAAAAGAATATAGACTCTCAAAACAGTTCGAAATCGATGCTGTATACTTCGGTTAAATAATATCAAGTTCAGAACAATTCTACAAATGCTTGATTATCACTCAGACTATGTGATTATTTTCAGGAGTGAGAACTGAGAAATTTTCATAGACTGTTAAAAAACTTTTACCAGAAAAATAACCAAAAATTCTTGAACCCAATGGACTCCATTTCTCATTCGGAATCCTGCTATCTTTTTTAAGAGAAAAGCACGAACAATTATCTTGATTTTAACTATAGATGAATTTCCAATAGAGATGTGTATGAATCGAGTTTTCTTAGTTCTCGGTTTTAGTAATTTAAGTTTTTCGAATTTCGACTGTCATATTGGTTTCGGTTCGAAGAAAAGTCCTTCAGAATTTATTCTTATTAAGTCTAAAAGAAAAAAAATGTCTTAACTACTTGTTTTTTGATTTAGTCAATGAGCACAAATGCGGTCAATATTATGATAGTATATTTTGTGAAGTTTGATTTGTCTTTAAATTTGAGTCACTTATCATTTGAAAAACGAAAAATTTAAGGCGAATTTCCCACACAAAATGTCAGATGTGGACTGTATTGTCAATCCTTCTGTGAAAATGAGTCACGAATAAAAGCATACTAAATATCTTCTAATCAAACTATGCAAGATATAATCTGTTCAATAAATTCATGAAGCAAATTTACTGACAAATCCGTGTTTTCTCTTTAAATCATGTATCAATAAATATAAATTGAAAACGAATTTTTACAAGACACAGTTCAAATCGATTGTACTATTTAAGAAATATCTACATTGTTTTTTTACGGTGAACTTTTGAGATACGTCGTGATACTAGATTTTTTAAAATTATCTCTCCTAAAGTTTGTTTTGATTGCTATGACGTTAAGGATAATTCGCTTCAAACTACAGTTTTTAGTTTCAAGTCGGATAATATTTTTTTTGTCGTAGTGCCAAAACAGATCTTACGCATCTTTGATCTCGACAAAGACGAAAATGATCATGAGTCATGCACTCTCTTGCTTTCGAAATTATAAACACTTTGATAGGATTTGAAATATTCCTTTAAATATTAATTTACATCTTCCAGTTCTCAGTTGTTGACGATCAATGGAATCGATCATTTTTGGTTCTGGTTTCGTACTTAATAATACTCGTATTAACAAAAAATACGATATCATATTCGAGACATCTTGCATGACTTACATGCCTCTAATATATTTTCTCTTGAAGACTCATTACGTTTTTTCAAATTCATTAATACTTCGTCTATTCTGCACGTTTATGTATTCGACAACTCTACTGTTTACAGAAAAAAGGATTAATTAAATTGTAACAGCAAATATTAAAGTGATCGTTACTTAATAAGTTTTGTATAAACTTTTAGAATACATAAGTTGTGAGAAATATGACATTTGACATCAGTCTTACATGATCGTAAAAGATATTACTTCCAATGAAAAAGTGTTGTTCCTACTGGGACGGAGACCATCTTGCTCATATCTATCGGTAGTACGCATATGAAAAAATTCAATAATCTCAAATCTTTCCAAGTGTATATAGAAAAGTTCGTGTATTTATATTCATTAGCATAAGTTAATATCAATCATTTTGATTTCATTTTCTAGATTTTACCTGTTTCAATACAACATCAAGTAAATGAATATTTAAATGAAATAATTGAACAACTTGTTCTTTGTACAGGTCTATTAAATTTTATTAATAAAACTTTTCATATTTTATTTTCTTTAGGTGTTAATACAAAATCTCAATTATCAAATACAATATCTCATATAATTAAACGAACATTATCTAATCGAAAAGAAATTATGATAAAAAATAATCATTTTATAAAACAAATTCATGCATTCAATGAACTTTATTCAAAATTAAATATACAAATTCAAAATGTTTGTATTAAACAATTAAAAATGATTAAAGCTAATGATTTAAATACAAATCAAATTGATACACTTCGTGAACAATATCAATTATTACTTAAACAAATACAGTATACAAAAAAAAAAAACAATAATTTAACTGTATGTTTTTTTCTTCTATGGAATTTTTTTCTTATAGATTACGTCGATGTGAATTCATTCGTGATATATATACAATGGAAAATATTGAAATATTACAAAATATGAAGTATAATGATATAAGAAATCTTCTTTTTTTGCAATTAAATTTTTTTTTTGTTTTTTGTTTAGATTAGATTGTGAAGAAAAACAACATCAATATGATGAACAAATAAATCATTTGAAAAAACTTGAAATGGCTATTAATAATGAAGGTATTCATTATCAACATTTAATAAAACGTTATTATGAATTATGTGATGAATTAATCAATGCTCAAAATGCACTTAAACAACTTAAACAACAAAAAGAAAATAGTTCAATTTAATAAATTTTCTTTAAAACAAAAAAATGTGTTAAAATTTATTGTCTTGTAAATTTTTCTTCAGATATTTAAAAAATATATTCATCATTATCAACATTGTCAGATAAAAAATAAATAAATCAATAATGATTTTATTAAAGCTATAGTTCATTAAGAATGTAGGTCTAAGACAAAGCTTACCAATGGAATTTGAATTTTTTCTATGATCATTCGTGTAGGAAAAAACTATCTGCTGGCCATTGGAGGTCATAATTCATTAATAGTTTAGCGAATCTAAGCTTTGTGTGTATTTGAGCATTATTGTCTATAAGTTTCATGAAAAAAAAATCTTTCACTAAGTGAAAATGCTATCCAAATACTGAAGACTCACAGACCGCAATCTTCAATTAAATTACCTGATCTTTTGACAAAAAAAGCAACGACATAGACTGGACTCTACTTGCATGCTAAAATATTAAGAATTAGTCATGGACTTAATAACATTTAACGAAAAATTTAGAAGACAATCTTTTTCAAGCTAAAAGTTTAAAGCAAAGATAGGCGCTTTTCATTATAAATATCATTGTATTTAAACAATTAGAACGATCTGTTGCAATATGTGTGCATAAATTTTCAGGCCTACATTTTTCTCCACTGCTGTAACAAATAACTATTCGTTATTATAACGAATAAGATTATAAACTGCAAGATACTATTTTGCTAATAATATTAATTAACAATACCAGTTGATTAAATATCTATCTTAAATATATATATATATATAACGTAAAGATCCACTTCGATTTTGTTTTAACAAAGAGTATTTCTCTATGCTAAATTAAGTAGTTATTCAACTGATTCTAAAATTATATTATAATATCGAAAACTATTGTCTGAACAAAAATCATTTGTTTCATTATGATTCTATCTATTGATTTATTCTTGATGATAGTAATTGTTAGAGTCCATCGGGTTGGTTTTAGACCCGAATCCGACGAGCCATGTTAGATGTGGACAAGATGGTTCCGACATCACTGCAATAGGAAGCCGTGGGTACTTCTAGATGCGGACCCGGTCGAATCAACCAATCTGAGAAATATGTAGGATGTGTCAGACTCAGGATAAAAGATTTTGTTGAAATTAGAAGTACGGTTCGGGTAAGTTAATTATTGAATCTGTGAGCTCAAGTGATTATAGACTTTTAATTGATTGATTGATTGATTTTCTTGTAGTAAAACGTTATGTAACTAATGAATAACATATTCCAAATTGTTCTTTGAAATAGATTATTTTTAATATGATATGCAAGTAGCTATAAATTATGGAAAATTAATTAATAATTCACAATTGTCATTAAATAAAACGATTTGAAAGAAGATGATGAGAATTCGAATTGATATTATTCGATGTTTTTTCTTTTTGAACAAATAAAGTTGAATAGATATCTAAATCTGATTTCCAATCGATGAATTTGTTTAGTTGTCTTTTTCTTTCGATCGACAACTAAACTATCATTTGTCTAGTAACAAAATACTTCTCTTTTTATTAAATATTTTAAATACAAAGGGTCAAGATATCTGTTCGAAAAAGATTACATGTTGTCGCTATGATAAGAAAATGATAAGAAAACTTTGCTTTTGTTGATAGGACAAAAAATAATAAATAAATGTAACAAAGCATCAAGTTGATGCCATCGATATCTTTATGTTGTCTTTTATAGAATTAAATATTTAAGTTTCAATAAAATAAAAAACACTTACGAAATTCTGACAAAAGATTTAACCGAAAGGAATTTTCTCTATGTGTAATAAACTTTCGTACGATGATAAATGGTAAACGTAACTTCAATTTATGAATAATAAAAGAAAAAAAAAACAATGATGATGTATATACAAAGTAGATAAATCACGAGTGTGATATTATGAAAAAGTGTTTATCCTTTGAAGTACACAAGCATTTTCTAATATAAAAGAAAAATGAATACTAACAATAAAATAAGGCAACATATTGTCAATTTAACAACAACAACAACAACATCATCTAATGGATGGCAGACTATTTCAACACATTCGCCGGATGATGATCATTTAAGAAAAATATTGGCTTATGCAATACCATTATCATGTTTTACTATAGTTCTTATTGTTGTTATTTTTATTGGTATTCGTCAACGTCGTGTTATTCTAGAAAAATGGATTTCATTAAAACGAATGAGAAATACAAATCCAAAATTTCTTCAAAATACTGGTTTACGACGTGATTCAGAATTTGACTCATATAATCATGATCATGTAAAATCAAAATTAATGAATCAAAAAAATACAAGTCATCAAAAACCAGAATATCCTTTAGAAACAATTGCTTAATATAGAAAAAAAATTTTAGTATATATTTAATTAATAATCTCTTGTTTCTTCTTTTTTTTTCTTTGTCGTTGTCTATGTTATACAAATGATTTGTCTGAACAAATTTTTTAATAAATGTTTTTTTTTTCTTTTTTCGAAATGTATTATCGAACAAATAATGAAGAACAAAATTTTCTCAAAAGAAAAATTACTAAACGCTCAATAATCAGAAGAAAAGATAGAAGTAGCAAGTAAACGAAAGAGTAATTGACAAAGATGCATTATTTTCTTTTACGAGAATATCACATATAAATAAGTCAATTCAAACATAAATGAGTTCGACATACGATAAAAAAAAACGAACATTGAATTGAGATAAAACTTTGTTCAATCATGTTTGAGTCAGTATAAGAATATTTTATCTGAAAACTTATATTGTTCAATTTAGTGTGTGGCTATTCACGAGACAAAAAAAAAGCAAATTAATTTTTATAATGATATCATCTTTAATATTATCTTCGAATTTCAGCTAGAAATTTTTTCATTTAATACGTAATTAAATCATAAGTATAATGATTAGAGCGTCTATCATTCTTCATCAGAATGGTAAATCTTATTATATTTTATATGCAATAAATTTCATAGTTAGCACAAAGAAAGTCGGTTGGAATCAATGGTCAAATATTAATTGTATCACTTCTTTTTTTTTTTAATCCACGCAATATCGTTTGGCCATGAAATAAATTCCCGGATACATTTTATTTGACGTAATACGAACAAATATGTTAATCGTACTATTACTTATCGATGTGTATGTCTAAATCAAAATGTATGTTATCTATATTCATTACCACAACATATAAAAAGTATACACATAATTATTTTTCTTTTTCAAAATAAAAAAAAGAAAAATTTTCAATGGATCATCAAGTACCAAAAAAAAAACTAAACCGCTTGAGAAAGAGTTTACTCTACGACAAAATATAAATTTTTGAAATTTTGAGATAATGTACATAAATATTTATATGGATGACATGTGCAATCACAATGCATTAAAGGAGAGAGAACTCGTATGAAGATAATAAGCATATTACACGAGAGACTGATAGTAGCTATCATCATTCATCGAAGACTCAAGGAAACATAATAGAAGTGATAGGTCTAATTACACGAAGAAAGAAGATGTATGAGAGCACACATACTAATGATAGTTTCAAGATATATTGGAGATGGCGGATTCATGGTCTGTACAGTTGTCTTTATTATCAGAGTATCATAAGAGACTAGTAGTGTAATCGACAGGTGACTAGAGGAAGATGAGTCTCCAGAATGAAGGGCATTCCTTCCACTGAAAAACGACTAGAAATTGTTCGCTGCTGCTCATTCCTTTAGTGACAATTTTCAAGTTACGTCACTATTAGAGACATGCTAAAGTCCCGCTTCAAAAGAGTTAACATCTAATGCATTTGATTTAACAGGTGAAGACATTATGTATTGATATCAATAATTTATGATTGATTGTCTAATTGAAAAACTTGATCATGAGAATTTTCATCGTTTTTCTTTTTATAAATGATTATATCATGATAAACTTCAATAATTAAATTCTGTTACTTATTGTATTTTTAATACATTTAATTTTGATAAATCAGATTATTTATTAGTTATAGAACTTTTTATTGCATATATATGTTTTCATCATATAAAGACTATCAATGTAAATTAAATTTTTTTTTTTTTTTTTAATTTTATGATATTAATCAAAAGAATAAGATATGATACAAAAATAATGTGACAAATATTGGATCCTATTTCTATTCGATAGAAAAGTACGGCATGAAAACTTTATTCACCAGAAGATAAAGAATTTTTTTCTCTTTCGAATCGTATTTAACTTATTTTTGTCACTGTGTTCATAAATTATAGAGCAAGGCAATCCAAAAAAATAAAGTTTTTTTTCAATAACTCTCTACCGAAGAGAAATAGGGTTCGACATGTGTCCCACTATTGTTGTATCATATGTTATAATGAAATATGATGAACTTATATTTGCTATAGAAAAAAAAGCTGTTAGTGTAATCCTTACGAGATAAAAATGTGAAATACGATGTAACTGTTGTTGCTTATCACAGAAAGATTGTTTTATTCGATCTATTCAGGGACACAATTCTTCACCATCCTTTACTTAATCTTTATGAAATGTAGTAAGGAAGTATCTCATCTTTATATATATATATTATAACAAGACGTCATTGACATACGGCTTTTTATCTTATATCAACAGCGTCTGTTGTAGTCTGTGAGGCGGAGAAATGAAAATACAGCTACGATATCGGTGACACAGACGAGGGCATCTATGACAATTTATGATGCGATGAGGGGGGCGTTACTACGATGTCAGCCATATTTCTAATATGTTTGTTACGGCGTGTCAGTCCCATCTGTCATTATGTGCGGGGGTTGCAAATTGCTACCACAAAATACTTCAACATTCCTTTTAGATCGTGTTTTACAAAATGCATGAATTACATGATTTAACCAATTAATAATATTAAAACTTTCTTACATGACAAATATTCTATCGAAAATGTTAAAGATAGATGAATTACAGAAGAAGAATTTGTTTCTTTACTTTGAACCATCTGTGTAAAAACAAAAAAAAAGGAAAAAGATTTAAATAAACACAGCAGTACAAAAAAAAAACAGAACGCGAATTCACTGTTTCTACACATAGACTATGAATATATATATATGTTTTTTTTCCCTGATATAATCAAATAGTAAATGATTCATTAAGATTAAGTGTTATTGGTAAAATTTCAGGCATAACTGAATGATGTATTAAAAGTGATAGAAGTGTTGGAAATTGTTTTATAGTTCCTTTGATACGATAAATCGGATTATTATTAATCATAGTTTTTTCAATAAGATAATGAACTATATTTGATTCATGTGTAAATTTTGGAACTTTTATTGAAAGTGCATAACAATCGGGATGTGTTGTACTATCTCGTAGAATAAATGCACCATAATCAGCTTGTTGAAGAACATCGCATACTGCTTCTCTAAAAATAATATGAAATCGAATGATTTCAAAAAAGAAAAAGAAATTTACAATTACCTTTCTAGACATGGTCTATACCAACGTGATATTGATTTCAAATCATCATTGATATTAGGAAGTCTATAAAAAGAAAAAAGAATAATAAATTAAAAGACTAAGAAAAATTTAAACAAGAAAATTATCATGAAAAATAGTGATCATTTCTAAAATTTTCTTCGTAAAGATGTTTAATACCTTGTTTTTGAATCTTCTAAAACTTTCAACGAAAGTAACATAAAAAATAATCGAGAGAGTCATTCCAATTGTGTCATGAGTTACGACTTCATAGTATCAGTAAAAATCACATGATGGAATTTCGAATTGAGATTTTACAACATGAATAGAAGACTTCACTGTGAAAATATCTTAAAAAGTTCAATTAAAACACATGCTTCTTTTTAATAATCCATTTTAACCAACACTTCTAAGACATGAGCAATTTTATTCATTAGCGATAGAATTTCGTAAACAAGAGTTGTCTCAACTAGCACTAGAAGACTTCAGTTAAATATTCTATGATTTTAAGCGAATTATCTTATAAATCATATCAATCAAAACATAACTAAAGAGTGATAACACAAAGAAAGTACTAGTCATTGACTAAATAAATGAAAAAAAAAAGTACTGAAGAATCTTTTTAGATTTAAGACGAATAAATTCTGGGATAGTTATCTCTAGATCGGGACCAAAAACTCTGTTTCCTCACATCTTTACTCTGAACTTAGAAATTTCTTCTAGGTAATTTTTATGTAACAGATGTCAATTGAGTTACTTGACATACTCTGCAAAGACTTTTTTTGAAACTCGGTCTTGCTGAAAATTTTACGATGGATATAGTTTACAGTATAGAGTCAATTCTGAGAATTTATTTGTCAGAAGGTTGGAGAGTTATTCGCGAATTATATTTTAACTAATCAATTTTAATCAGATATGAACGAAAAGATCCAATCATTTTTATATATATATTCATGGAAAAAAAAATCTGTTTTTTACAAAATAATCCTTATAAAGAATCAAAGTCAAATCGGAGATCTCAGATTGAAATTATTTCAATTTATATATTGTTATAAGTTGAGAGCTGAATAGAACCCATCAGGTCCAGATCCAAAACTTCTTGGATCCGATCGACTTTAAAATTCAGTATAAAAGATTCTATTTCCATAACAAAGATCCATCAGTACAAATAGTTTCTTCGTCAATGCGCTAAAGATTCTATATGTCATAAATGACATTATCATTTAAGTTAGACCTTGTACAAGACTGTTGACATATTAATTCTACATGAAAAATTCAATGAAGTTATCATATCTTTCAATTAAACGATTATGATTACAAATATCTATTTGGTTAAAAAAAAAACAAAACAAACCTCATTAAACTTGCACGTTTTATCTTGAAATATCGTTTTTGTTCTTCTTGTTGTTGTTGTTTATTATGATGTTCTTCATTAAGATCATCAAGTTTTGTTACGGATTTACTTGACATATTTAAAGGTGCAGGTAACGGTGGACATATTGTCATAGTTGAATGATACTTATTGTTACATGCACATACATTATTAATAACATTCTCATTTGTATCTATATGTGATAATGGTTGTCGAAAAACATGAGAACGATATGAATTCGTAGAATAATATTTTCGTTCTTGGGGATTCAATAAACATGTTGATGATGATGCTGATGGACGACATGTACATGCCATACAACAAATATTTGTTGAATCAGGTATTGTTACATTCACCGGTATTAATGTACATGATATTAAATGTACAGGAATAATTTTTGATGATAATATTGGTATATCACTATAACCTGAATCAGTTGATATTGATGATGCATTTGTTGATCGACGTAAAATACGACGAGAAATATTTCCTTGTTGATTTTTATGTTCATCATTAAATAGATATTTTAAA